GGAAAAGTAGACATCCGACGATAGCACTCGACAAAGCAATAAAGAAAAATGGTATGACGGTATGCAAAAACATTATGTATCTGGGTCGGGTAGTGCTATTGGGAGGGTTTCGGGGCTCAACAGAACAACCTAGCAATGGTGACAATAAAATAGTCATTTCCGGTTGGTCGATCGCTTGAATTCGCTGCCATTGACATATTTTGGCCTAAAAGATTTTGAGTTGAAATTCAGACACCACCACTTAACTTTGGTGGCGGACAGTTTAATTATCGCCGGGTTGGATAACACACATATTCTGTCCTATTCGGGCCTTTTGTAAGTCCCTACTACAAGACTGCGACCACCAATTCTCATAGGGGAATAGTAGTTTTCCTTACCTTGGGAGTTTACTCTCTTGTAAGCCCCTTGGAGAAGATAAGCTGGTTCGCGGAAAATCAATAAGTTCCAAAGGAGTGCCGTGCAAGAGACGTCTTAGTTTCACGCCACTTTTGTTGTAGAATACAACATTAGCATTGAAACAATCAAGTGCAAACGGAAAGGCAATTGTACACTAATGAATGGCTCGCGGCGGTCCTCCGGGTGCTCAGCCGTTGTTTAACAGAGACAAATGAAGCCCATGGATTCATACTTCCCCTTTTAGTCGGACATACCTTTGTAACCATTGAACTAGGCAATAGATTGCATCCGCTCATTGAGAAGCAGCAATGTGTCCATGCCGTACACCATTTGACTGAAATTTTAGGGCCTAGCTCTATCCAGCATAAGACTAAGACGGCATGGCTTAGTTTTTTGAAGCCACATATGAGTTGGATAAATGAAAAGGATCAAAGTAGTGGGATATTCCCCCAAGAACACAATAGTCTGCAACCACTGTCGCTTTCCCCCCCCCCCCCCCCCNGAGAACAATTGCAGACCGTGGTGAGGAAACAGCAATTTGAACAACATAATAGAATCACTGACCGGAACACTCTGACCCGCATCTTTGCCATCCTGAATGGAGATGGTCAAACTGGTCGCGTTGAAGTGTTTTACCAGCGGTGCAGCAATCTGGCGAACGGTCAAATACAAATCCGCAAGTTGACCGGGTCCGAGATCAGTAAAACGTGGATACGGGATCACTGGGGACACCAATACATCTGCAGGCCACATGTGGACAGTTGAGGAAAATCAGGTAAATAACGAGTTGCAAATTACGAGAGTTAGTAGTTAGTAGTATGGTTGACAGTGCACATGAATAAATCGTAGCATCTCCAGCGCACAATGCGATGCTGACAGCGAATGTCAGAAGTAGTCCAAATGTTGTACAGCTTTTTGGAAAAACTGAAACGAGGAGAAGAATCATGGACAGTTCGAAAAAGCGATAGAAAAATTTCAAACTCAGAAACCTTTTTCTGTTGCAACTTGCTCTTACAACCATCAACGGAGCACGAAAGTGTTCCGGTTGTTTATTATTATTTTATCTCACTGAATTATTGAATATACAATGGTACAATTTTCAGGACGGAGGAAGCCGGCGATCAACGTACAACACACCATCCAGGGCAATAATTTTGCGATTTCTAACGCTTGACCACCATTGCCTAGTTACTGTCTCTAGATTACCCATTCGCTTGAAGGAGTAAAGAGAAGTTTAGCAAGTTCAAATCAGTGTGAGGGTGAAGAAAGTAGTAAATTCATGAAGACTAACGTTACAAGAACATTGAATAGATGTACAAATAGCACCGTTTACGAACCTGTGTCTGAATAGAGAATACCGTAGGTTTACGTTGCACAATTTGTATGCGGATTTATTTGCTGTATCTCATCAGGTGAGTACTACAGATTGTATGATATTCATGATCACAATAAATTGATAAAAATTATTGTTAATAAGGTCATCACTGTCATCGTTTCTACCAAGACAACGCCAAGGTATCGAATAACTCCTTTTGCTCACACAAAACAGGTTTTCCGTTTTTGAATAGCAATTGCTTCAGCAAACTGCATTAAATGTGAATTAGTGTTGAACAGGATCACGGAGAACGCAGTAAATTGGTCGAACCGAAGCTTTATCTTGAGCAAATAACGTGCGATGGAAGAGACTGATATTTGTCTGACCGGTGACCTTTGACCTGTCCACTGACTGTGGGACATATTCAGTCACTTTCAGTCGAAGTTGCCGTTCAATTCGGCCGAGGTGAGTGGCTGAGCACCCACACGTTAACATGTATGGGTGTGACTTCGCATGAACTGGTAAGGGCCCTTTGACAACGGTGGGTGGGTAGTTGTCGATTCGACCGAACTACTGCGTTCTCCGTGATCCTATCCAATTCACGTTTACTGCTGAAGCAATTGTGATTCAAGGATGGCAGCCTATTTTGTGGAGGCGAGAAGTTATTCGTTGCCTCGATCGAAATTATGACAGTTATGAACTTATTAACGATTATTTTTATCAACTTATCGTGATCATGGATATCATACAATCTGTAGGATGCACCTGATGAGATACAGTGGAATATATCCGGATACAAATGGTGCGACGTAAACCTGTATTCTGTATTCCCTAGTCAAGTTCATTACGGGAGAAAGCTGTTTCAATTAACTCAGTATTGACGAAGTACTAAAAATGGGCTCTTGTAGCTCAGGTGAACCGAATCCCATTTCACCTGTTCGCTGAGCTTGGCAATTTGTTTTCAAAAGTTTCATCACCAGCCAAAGTGACATCGTCAGTGCTTGTGAAGGGGTCACTTCAAAAGCGTGGATGCCCAATTCAGTGATGGAAACCGACAACCTAAGCTCCGGGACTTGGAGTGGCGAACCAGATAAGGCGCTACTAGGTAAGACACGGTATTGAACCGGACAACAGCAAAGCTGCCTATTACCAAAGTTGGGTAGCAGTGGTGGAGTTCGAACCTCGGACCACAGGGTTTAAAACATGCATGGAGTACCAACTGCGCTACCACTAATCTAACTGTGCATGCATTCTAGTCAGATAAAAAGTGACAACACGAAAACTATTGATGTCAACTCACTGTTCTGCTCTTCGGGGTTTCCAGCCAAGCAGCAACAGGGTCTTTCGGACCCAAATAGCAATAATAATGCTGGGAATATCCCCGGTTGTCATGGTAGACGCGGTTCATTGGTTAGTGGTGAAGTTCTATTCATAGTTCTAAACGAATCTTTAATTCAGGAAACGATGTGCCAGAGAACAGTGTGTGAACTGCAAGTCAACAATCTACGGCAGGTCTTGAGATGCACGTGGATGAGATGATTTGGGGCTTTTGGATATAAAAATAAAACGGGGAAATGATGATCATTCGAAGCATACCAAGTTGACGGGAGCTGTTGAACAGCGCTGATTATGAAGGCAAGCGACCTGTATACGGTCGGCAAGGAAGTGGTGCATCAGGCAATTGGGAGGGCATTTTGCACCGGTTTAGTAAAGCGAATAATGCCTTTTTGTCAATACAGTTGAAAGCGTTCACTAAGTCCAGAAAACCAGTTAGTCTCTGATAATGCAGTGTAGCATTGAGGGTTTAACGCTGCTTACGGTACACCAACTGATGTTCACCAAGCGAGTGATAGGATAAGTTTGGGAGTTTTCAGCAGTATCGGTGTTGACGCAAATGAGTAAAACTTTCCACTTTACTTGGGGACGACGTGGTGCGAATATCCTACCGGGAATTACCTGTCTGACACTGTGAGACGCAATGACTAAAATTATGCGACAACGCTGACACAATGGTAATTTCTAGGATGACCCGTGGGAGACTGTCAGACTCAAGAACCTTGCAACTGATGAATTTAATCTCAAAGAGAGCTTACCGGGCTGCTGATTAAAGAATTATATAGGTGGATGCCAATGGTTTTGTTAAACGGGGAAACCGATGGACGGATTGTCAGTGTGAAATTATGATTTTAGGCTCTTTTTTAAGGCCAAACAATTGGTCCTCTTGACCTTGGGGTTTAACCCTCTTGTTGTTCATCATACAAGAGTGGTAATAAAAAGGTCTCCTGTGGTATTTGCAGACCGCGAAGAGTGAACGCAGAGTAGTTTGGATCTTTATCGGAGCATACATGATGGTATTGATGCACATTCTGCCTATCTTATAAACATTTTCTTTCCTATTTCGCAGTCTTTTCACTGTCGCAGATACCAGAAGCTCCAGCTGAATTTGAATACTCGTGTTGGGGTAGCTCAGATCATGTCCATATCTCAA